TGGGAAACATTTTAAAGCTTTGTAAATATACCATTCACAATCAGGCATTTAATTAACAATGTGTACAAACTCCAAACTTCTTTCTGTTCTATGGGCATAAAACATTTTTGGCAATTTTTGTTTTTAGACTCAAATTTTCCCTGAATCAGGCAGGAAAAATACATTCAAGCTAGATTTTGTGTCTTTTTGACAGATCCCCATAATTCTTCAAACATTTCTTTGCTCTGGCACAAGATGTTCTAGTCTCACCTTATACTTTCTGTGCTTGTCTCTTGAATCATCTACTTCTTTTTTTCAAGGCTCTCTTGTTCTTTTCAACAGAAAATTATACCAAGTTAAGATCTGGGTGCAGAAAATGGTCATTGCTAAAGGGCTACCACTGTTTCCAGATCCTTTGGATGGATAGAGGCAGAGTACATCTGCATGGGCAGGCACTTGATGTAAGTTAGGAGACTACTAGGAATGCCCACATCCAAGAAGTAGTCCCAGCTCTTCCACTTCTTATCCAGTTTTACTAATGTGCACCTGGGAGGAAGGAAGCTATGACTCAAGTACTTGGGTCTCTGCCACCCACTTGAGAGACCTGGATTGAATTTCAACCTCCTGGCTTCAGCCTGGCTTAGCCCTAGTTGCTGTGGGCATTTTGAAGAGTGAATCAGCAGATAGAAGGCCTCTTTTTGTCTGTATCTCTGCTTTCAAATAAAATTTACATTAATTAATTCAAATAAACAATTAAGAAAATTTTAACTTTTGAGGCAGTAAATATGGCTTAGAATATAAAATCTGCATCATAAAAGAAAAATGGAGAAATCAGATTTCACCTAAATTAAATTCTTTTTTTTCTTCTTTTTTAATAACCACTGTTAAAGAAACAGACAGACCATAGACCAGGAGAAAAATATTCACATTATTTATATGTGACAAAAGAATTGTATATAATGAGTTGCTTTATCTCAACAAAAAACTAGAATACAATTTAAAATGGACAAAAGTCTTCTTCAAAAAGTAGATATCTGACAAATACACAAAGGAAATAAACTTACTTGGAAATAAAAATAAAAGGAAATAAAGTTGGTGAGATGGAGAGGATGTGAAACTACTATAATTCTCTCTGTGTATGTGTGTGTGTGTGTTTTAAAGATTTATTTATTTATTTGAATGGCCACAATGTCTGGAGCTGGATCCAAAGCCAGGATCCAGGAGCTTCTTCTTCTGGGTGTCCCATGTAGGTGCAGGAGCCCAAGGACTTGGGCCATCTTTCATTGCTTTCCTAGGCACATTAGCAGAGAGCTGGATTAGAAGTGGAGCAGTCAGGATTTGAACTGGCACCCATATGGGCTGCTGGTGCTGCAGGCCATGGCTTTAATCATTAAGCCACACCTCCAGCCCCACAACTCTAATTCTCATTTGTTGCTGGTAAAATGTAAAATCTTCCAAGATCTATGGGATATTTTGATAGTTGCTTGTAGAGCTAAGCACACACTCACTATAGGATCCATCCATTCCACTCCTAGGTATTTTCCCAAGAGAAATAAAATCATATGTATATAAAGACCTGCACATGACTCTATTTATAATAACTAAAACTAGAATTGTCCACCCATGGATGAATTGGTAAACTGTAAAAAAGCCATATAATAGAATGTCAACCAGTAATATAAAGGAGTGAACTATTAATCTGCAATAATGTGAGCAAATTCCAGAAACATTATACTGACAGAGTGAAACAAGGTATAAAGTAACATATATTGTGTAATTCCACTCATTTGGAATGTCCAGACCGTCAACATTTTAAACTCTGTCATGAGAAAATGTAAGTACTTGTCTGAAAATAGAAGCAGCTTGGAGGATGGGTCAGAGGGTCGTAAGGGAATTTGCAGGGTGACGAAAAGACACATCGCTTTATAAATTTGACAAGACTCATTTAACTATACCTGTAACATTGTATTTCAAGTTGATTGAGTTGTTTTTTATTTTTTTTTCTGAGAGGCGCACACACACACACTCACACACACACACAGAAAGTGAGAGAACTCCCATCTGTTGAATCTAAATGGCCCCAAAGCTGAGATCTGGGAACTCAGTCCAGGTCTCATCATTTACTGCCTCCCATGGTCTGCATTTGCAGAAATCTTGAATTGAGAGCCTGAGCTAGGACTTGAACCCAGATATTCCAAGAAGGAATGCAAGTATCTTAACTAGCATCTTAACCACTAGGCCAAATGCCTTTCCCTGGAAGTATTCCTGGTTTCAGGAATCCTGGCAAGAGTAGGAGGATGAGATATTTGGTGTTCAGGGATCACTAGCTCTCACAGATAGCTACCTCTACAGCAGGGAGAATGGGGAGTTGCACTTACAGTCTAAATTGTGGGTGTGGGCACGAAGCAGACAGTGGCCAGGATGAACAGAAGTACACCAGGGTCCAAGGCCTGATAGCCACACTCAGCTTGATCATCCCCATTTCCATTAACTATAGGTTCGCTCTTTGACTCTGCTTTCATATTTCAAAAGCCTGCATTTTAGGTGAAACTCTCAATGACTCATTGGTTCCTATCTTAGGCTAGATTCTGCAGAAAACACTCCTGAGGCAAAATTTAATGTGAGCTCCTTTATTGGAGTGTGAAATACCAGTGAAAACAGGAATGGGAAAAGGGGATTGAGGCATCAAAAAGAAGCAGATAGGAGGGTTTGTTCCTAGAGAGCCCATTGCTGTGTATGAAGTATGACTGATGGATCCACCTGCCCAGAATCATCGTTGAGAGGCCAACAATGCTATATGGCAGGACACTTCTTAGGAAGCAAGAAAGGGAGACTATTTTATCCACTGGATTCCATATTCCACTTTGTTTCACAACGGTTTTCCCCCATGGATTACGAACGTGCTGGGATTCAGATACACACATGCAAGAACTAGCAGATCTTCTCACATCCTAGGTCTTATCAGTTAAGCTGGAAGGTAGAAGTGAGAGACAAACAATCTAGGCCTGAGATGAGTGGTTTAGGCTTGTTCCCACATAAAGCTGACTTGAGCTCTTGCAGAATTTTACTGGGGCGATAAATAAAGCCCAGAGCCCCAGAGACAGGAGGAGAGCAAGGCCTGAGATCGTTCAGAGCTGGATAACAGTAACATTTGTGATGTGGACTCTCAAGACTTAAAACATGCAAACTAGTAGGAAGCGGGAAAATTCTTGCTATGCTGCGGTATTTATAACATGCTTTATTTTCATGTTTTACTATCTATTGCCATGATTCCTAGCAAGGAATTTCTGTAAAAGAAGTGCATGCAAACAGGAGAAACAGACTAACCCATGTAATCATAAAAGTGTGTGTATGTGAGTGTGAGTGTGTGTGTGTGTGTGTGTGAAAAAGAGAGAGAATGAATATCATTTTTCCAGATAATTCCATCGCACATTAACAGAATACTAAGTAGTTGTGAATAGACTTTTCCAGAAAATAATTAGGAAGCTATATTTATCTCTGAACTTTTCAGGTACTGCAGTCACATTTTCTGTTCCAAAAATAAAGTTGCTGATTTTTATAAATGGCAAAGATACTTAAAATTAATGCACAGAAACATGCCAATAAAGGTCTAGATTTAGATATTTACCTGCATAAACTCTCCATGAAAGAAAAGCTTTACAGGAAAGAGCCAATATAGGGGAATAGTGATCTATTATTAACCATTCATTAAGCCCTGGAATGGCCCGAAGTCTACAGCACACAAGATTGAGCTTGATCTGTGGGTTTTGTTGGCTGACCACAGTGGGACCCTGTAGCCATCTTCTTCAATACTGGAAGTCTGAGTATAGAGAAACTTTGTTGAGGATAACTCACTAAAATATACCACCTGTGGCCAGGGGGGAGCAGGCATTCTTGAGGCCAGCAGTGGCGAAGGGCAAGATGAAACCCGGTGAACGCGGGTGTCTTTATGAGCTAATGCACCAGTTGTCATTCAGAGTCAAAGCATAAAAACCCGTCGCAGGGAAATCAAGGATCCTTGTTTTACGTTAAGAACATGGACAGCTCCGAGAGACACCAGAAAATTCCCATTTTCCCACCTCTGGAACGCCAGCCAGGGTCTCCCAGTCAGCTTGGGATTTCAGTTTACAGATAGTAAGATGTGCATATTCGGTCCTCTCTTTACCATTCATCATAACCGTATTAATGTTCAGGCTCCCCATGAAATTGGTCACGAGAGAGAGTGACAGGGATACTTTAAGAAACCGAATTTTTTATGACATGGTCATAATTTATAAATAAGTAATCGGGCCGCCATGCAAGGGGCTGGAAGCTGGGTCAGGAGGGAAAGCCCGGGGGTGGGGGTGGGGGTGGGGGCGGGGATCCCCACGCAGCCGGCTAAACGCACGGTGACTGAGGGGGAGAGCGGTTCCCACCCCGGTTAGGCCCGAGGAGCAGCGCCATGTGCTCCCGGCTCCTGGCCCTGCTGTTGCCAGCCTGGCTGTCCTGCACCCGGGCGACCCGAGGCCCCGAGCCCCGCAGGTGAGGCAGGGGCTTCTCCCCCGGCTCCGCAGCCCCTCTCGCAGCCCCGCGGGCAGAGGCGCTCTAAGGGAACCCACCGGCTCTCAGGCAGCGCCGCAGCGGAGCTGGGGTCGCAGGGAGGATGTCGGAAAAGGTGGGGGCCAGCGGGTAGCATTTCCCTCTCCGCCGCTGCCGGCGCCGCCAGTGCCGCCTTGCCTGGCCCGCGCCGCGCAGCCGCGCTCCCTCTACTCGGGGCTCCGCAAGGCCTGCGCCTGCACCCCACGGTCCCCGCGCTCGGAGTCCTGTGCAGCGGCCCCTTGGGCGGCCGAGAGAGCCCGGGGCCCGGGCCGCGCCAGGGAAGGCAGGGTGCGCGGCCGGCTCCGCCCCCAGCCGCCCGGCCTCCTCCCCTCCCCCGGCTCCCGCGCCCGCGGCTCCTCCTCTCCCCGCGCCCGCTCCTCCTCCTCCTCGCCTCCCCCTCCCCCTCCGCCCTCCTCCGCTCCGGGCCAGCGCGGCGGCGGCGGCGGCGGCGGCGGCGGCGGCAGCAGCAGGAGCAGCCCCGGCTGCGGGTCGCGACGGCGGCGGGGCGCCCCCTCCCCCGTGCCGGGGCGCGGCGGAGGGATGTGGGGCTTTGCAGGAGGAAGGCTTTTCGGTATCTTCTCGGCCCCGGTGCTGGTGGCGGTGGTGTGCTGCGCCCAGAGGTAGGGGCGCGGGTGGGTGGACGGAAAGCGGGCCGGGCGGCGGGCAGAGCGCACGGGGTGCGCGCCGGGCGCTGGCGGGTGAGCGGCCGGCTGACCCTGCTTTCCGTAACCCCCCACCCCGTGCCCGCAGCGTGAACGATCCCGGAAACATGTCCTTTGTGAAGGAGACGGTGGACAAGCTGTTGAAAGGCTACGACATTCGCCTGAGACCCGACTTCGGGGGTAAGTGGGATGCGCGCGGCCGCTGCGGGAAGCGCGACCCGCCGAGCTGGCGGCCTGGGTGGAGGAGGGAGGCGGGGGCCGCCTCCGCTGAGCTGCGGCGGGGTGGGGGGTGGGGGTGGTTCTACACCTGCGCCCCTCCGGGCCACCCGCGCCTCATGCTGGAGCGCGGCTGATGTCCGTGTGGTGCTCTTCCCGCAGGTCCCCCGGTCTGCGTGGGGATGAACATCGACATCGCCAGCATCGACATGGTTTCCGAAGTCAACATGGTGAGTGAGTGCCCGCCCTCCCCCGGGCTGTCCCCAAGCCCCTACCCGCTTGTCTGGGCCCACAGGCGTCCACGGTACTGGGCCGAAGGCCTCCTCGGCCGGGCCGGGCTTCCCGGGGCCCACGGAGGGGGCCGCGCTCTCGAGTGCCGGCCTCAGCTCGCCGCGCTCTCTGCAGCCGGCCGAGTGCTCACGGGGCGTCGTGGGCGTCCGGGCTGAGGCGAGGGCGCTCCCTCCCTGCCTGAGGGGTCCTGGGCCGGCCTAGCGCTCGGCTCGCACCGCCGCCCTCGCGCTCCCGGCTCCGGCAGCCTCGGCCGCCCGGGGCCGTCTCGCCTCCGTAGCAACAGGCGCCGGTGAACCAGGCGGAGAGCGAAATGTGGGGGCGGCTCCTGTATTCTAGGTAAGAGGTACTTCAGGTTTCCTTTGTTGGTTGCAAGAGGTGCTGGCAGCTGGAGGGAAGAGCGCGGGGCGGTGGTCTCTGTATCCCGCGGGTGTCCCAGGTCAGTTTCTTGGGTCGCAGTGGCTTCCTAAGGGCAGTCTCCCAGACGCTGAGTCCCGGAAGCCGGCTCCGTCGGCTGCTGTCCGAGGTGCTGACGGCCCCCGCGGGCCCTCGGAGCTGCTGAGCGGGGAGTGGAAGGAGGCTCTCAGTGAAGCGAGAGTCGCTCAAGGCTCCTGCGAGTGTTGACAAGAGTCAGAGTTCTGACCCGTGGAAAGCGGAGGTCAGTGTCCCGAGGTGCGGAGAGGGTGGCAGTGGCGCTTGCAAGGAACGCTTCAGGGCACCCGGGAATTGTGAGAAAAAGGACTGCTTGCTCTTGTTAATTGGGCTGAAATACCTCGGGATTTGGGAAAAGGATTAATTTTCTGCTGAATGGCAGTTCAGGAATTGCAAGAATGATTTTATGAAACAATATTTGTTGGAAGAGATCATTTGGCAACTTTTCTTTCTGACATGCAACATATAACGTGGCATGGTTTCAGATAGACAGAGAAGGTTTCTCAGATCTTGTGTACCTCAGAATCACGTGGGCAAACTTGTTTTAGAGGCATACTCCCCAGGTTCTTCACTGCAGGGGCTCTGATGGAGCCTGGCTGAAGTGGAGCCTTGGGGTCTCTGCATTGCAGACTTTCACTTCAGATTTCTTTGAAGCATGCATTTTGAGGGCAGTATTTTGGGAACCATTGCAATAAGTCATGGAAATGGGAGCAATATACAAATAAATAAAATTATGTAAAATAGACTGTAGTGAGATATATTTTAGTCTATACTATTAGAGATTTTTGATTGACCACACCAAACTATTTTCATCCATTTTTCTCTCTTAATCTCAAGATTTTGAAATTACAATAAGCAATTAAAAAATTGTACCTTTCTTTCAAAGTATACTACTTAGGACATATGTATAACAAGACATTGTAATAATACTAGTATTAGTAAGAAACACAGAAGGAATGAGACTTTAAATGAATTATTTTACATTCAAATTTAACCATGTATGTATTTAACTTTCTTGTAATTTTATAAAAATAATTCCATCCAAAAGATTTGTTTTGCCAACTTAGGGGAAGAAGTTAACATATTAAAGACCCACTCTCTGTAATTTGTGATTTTTCTCTATTGAGAACTTCATATTCCCTAGAGAAGACAATTTAGCACAAAGTTAATTGAAGATTTAGTGAATTATTATGTCAAAAATAACTAGTGGATATCAAATGGAAGAAAATATATATTGATGTAGCCTTTGAAGAACACAATAAGACAAGAATACAACTAGGGAAATGAAGAGAATTATTGCAGCCCATCACACATTCTGTGTGGGTTATTTTTAAACTTCATTATCAACTTGGTTTGGCATCAGGCTGACATTAGGAACATTCAAAACATTTTAGCAATATTTGCATCACTCATGGACTACCTATTGAGGTGTTCCAGTTTTCTCTGTACTCCGTAACAGCAAGACAAATTGAAGACACAGGCTATTATAATCAACAGTCTTTCAATATATATTGCATAGCCAACAAATACGCACATCATATACTTGATATACTTGTATGCATTTTTTAATTATCATTGCAATAATTTTTCTGGATCTCATATACATAAGCTTATTTCAACCACAAATTGGATATTAGTAGGATTGGAGACCTAATTCTATTAGACAGATGTGACTGACAGCCACTTAAAATGTTTTCTTCTCTCCACAAGCTGATTGGTCAACATCATGCCCTAGAAAAATCTGATTTTCCTTAACATATTTATGCATAATAATAGCTATGATATTTGACCTATTTTTAAAGGAACTTTAAATGTAGCAATGGTTCAGTATAATGTTTGTAGGGAAACTACAAAGAATATGTGAGTATAAGATTTGAACCAACACTCAATCATGTTGTATAAAAGCAAGAAGTTCTACCTATGAGCTTTCTTAACCACCTTATTGCTGAATACTAAACTAAGTATTGCAAGTTATAAAATGAAATAAGTAATGGGTTTTCCTTAAGGGTGTTCTAAATATTAGATAAGGTATGTCAAATATTTGTATAAAAAGTAGGATAATGTAAGTCTCACTAAAGCAGCAAGTGAAAGGGGTATACAGGAGGGAGAGAGAGAAAGGGAGGGAAAAAGGAGAGAAGATGGGTAAATGATACTATGTTGATGTGGAAAGCTTGATGAAAAATTACATTTAAATTACATGAGAGAAATGAATAAGATTTTGACTGGCATAACTGAAGAAGCACATTCTGGGAAGCAAATAGCAAGGCTATGGATGGATGGATTAGAAGGGTCAGAGTTTATGAAGGGAGATGAAATCGCAAATGTAGGACAAACCCTTGTACACTTAGGCCCTTCTCCATAGTGCTAAGGATTTCAGATGCTAATTTCTGGGAAATGCGGATACCATAAATAATCTTAAGCAGATGTCTTTCATGATTTTTGAGATGTGGTTTAAGATATGTTGGCCAAAATGTAAATTTAGACAGGAGTGAGGATGGTGACGTGTAAGGGTAAAATTTATAAGAAAATTAGGGAGAAATGATCACAAAAAGTCATCCCTTAATTTTTTTTTTTTGCTTCAAGTTTTTACAGATATATTTTTGGGAAGGTATATTCTGTAAGATAAATAAAAATTCACCAGTTCATCAGTGTTTAAAATCATGATGTTGAAAAACATACATCTGAAGGAGAGAGAGGTACATAGATGCTTGTTCATGAGTATTTTTTAGGGGGGTTGATTGTAAAGAACAATAACAGATACCACAGAACAGTACTTCTGATGCTGTTTTAATTGAATAGATTTAAAGCACAATTTTTAAATATTGGTAGTACATGTAAATGATGTTTCTGAAGAATAACTCTGACCTGAAATAAATGGATAAATTATATTTATTTATAGATATGTATTTCTTCATACCTTTTGGTGTTGTATAGGAAAAAAATTCTAAGAATGGATTTGAATATTTTAGTATTTAGCATTGGTTTTGCCATAGGTTTTTTGTCCTAGATAGTAGGGATACACTACATTTCCATTTTTTTTCTAAGTCTTCCAGTTTTTCTTGCTCTTCTTTTTAAGTAGCTGACTTAAAAATTGTTAAAAACCATTTTTGTTTTATGTAACTTCCCCTGTTTTTCTTAGTCTCTGTTTTACCATTTCCAATAATCTTTTAAAATTGTGCATGGCTAATCAATTACTGAGGTTTAGTCATATATTTCTTTAAGTGAAAATGTATATGTTCAGTATAGAAAATTATTGTGTGTTTGTTTTAATTTTAGTGATTAGTGTTCCTAGTGTACTCATATAATAAACACATGTTGAGTAGACAGAGTGATGAATCAGTGTAGAAAAATTTTTGGAAATGTAGGTCATAAGAAAATTTTGAAAAAAAAAAGCCAATTTGAAAATTTTAATTTAAAAGCATTATTTTAAAATAGGAATTTTTAATTTTTATTTATAAGAATGAGCCGTTGTTTGATTTGTTAGTCTATAACAGGAACTACATGTACTTTATTTTATAATTCATTAACTATACTGTATTGGGAATATAAAACTAGGTTCTAACTCTAGTAATGTCAATACTAATTTGTATGATGTAACTTGCTCAGTGTTATCACTTTATTCTTAATTATTCCACTAGAGTAAACTCATCCCTAATGAAAATGTTACTACAAAACTTTTTTGTGATTTCATGCATATAAATCATAAAGTATTGCTTTTTTAAAACTCATGTTCCTTGGAGGTAATCTATAATGAGTATCCATAATTACTATGAGGTATATTCATCAATTATGTCAGTTGTGTTGTATTTATTTCTCAGTCATTAGATTTTCTTCTTATATTTAGGTGTAAGATAATGTGCTACATAAGGACATAGTGTTAGAATATCTCAAGAAGTAGTTTTGGATTGATATTGCTCTTCAGTGGATACAATCTCACTCATGGCAGATCATGCACAGACACATTCTATCTTTTTTTTTTTTTTTTTTTTTTGCTATCTCTTTTCATGTTTTTCTTCTTTTCCGAAGGGAAAGAAAGAGGAAAAGATGTCTGACTAGAAATTGTCTTGATCAGAGGTTTGGAGAATTCAACTTTTAGGTCATTTTTTGACAAAACTTAAAGTCTTCCACACTCTCTGCCCTCATTTCTGAATTTAAAGGTTGTTTTGCCATTGATGAACCCTGAGTGACTGCCTAGTGTTTCCAGCACCTGTCTTGTTTCACAGGCGGGAGGAACTGAATCCCTAGAGTCCAGGTAGTGTGCTTAAAAAGAGACTAATAGGATTGGGAGCCATGGTTCTGTTTCCAATTCAATGGCAACATCTTCAGTAAGTCCCTTCATCCTCAGTATTTCAGTTGCAGGCTCCCAGATGCCCATGGCACACAGACAAATTCATGCCAGAGCCATGTCACAAAGAGTTTAGCTCTACAGAGAAAATCGCAGTGAAGACACCACACAGTCACATGTTGGAAAGCCATCTTTTACTGATTTCTTACAGGGCATGGGCCAAAT